AGAAACATCATCCCGAATAGCCTCATGCACGTGGACCATCACGTGGAGATAACACGATCACATTCCCTGGTCCGATAAGCTTCAACTGAACTTCCCAGACGAATGAACTTCTGGATTGCTATAGAGTCACCTTCGTTCATCTATTTACTTTGTCTCTATCTATCAAAACCCTCCATCCCACCTTACATATACGCATCAAACCTCGACACAACCAAGCAACCATGTCCGCCGAATCCCTCCCCATCAGCCCCGCCGCCTTCGCCGAAGCCATCAAAGAGCTTCCCCTCCCTGTGCTCTACGCCAAAGTCTCCGAGATTCGCAACTCCATGGCGCACCTCCACCGCTCCAACCAGGAACTGAGGACATTCATCAACGAATCATGCGACACGGACTCCGAAAAGCAAGAACTAGAGGCATATATCAAGGAGAACGAGGACGTCGCAGTGTCTATGCTGGAGAGGATCGAGCTACTGAAGACTGAGGTGGAGAATCGGGGACAGAAATGGATTGAGCTGGAGGATCCGGGAAAGGAGAGGGAGAATGGTGAAAGGAGTGCCAATGGAAATGAGAATGGAACGGTGGAAGGGACGGAGGAGGTGCGGAACCCCGCTGCGGGGAATGAGGAGGACCGGAATCAAGATCACGATCAGGAACAGGACCAGGAGGGAGTTTATCTGTAGCCATGGGTCTTCGTCTTGGTGATGGATTCGAGACCAGGAAAGGTACAATGCGGCTTCAGCGAATTACCCATCTATCGCATACGGGAACTCCTACATGAGCAGCTACCGACTACCGTACCTACCGCCGAGTGTCGCAATGTCGCATTTGCAGGCCATTTGAACCATACTGTCCGGTCAGCCTTCTCTACTTGGTACAGTTCTATTGGGGTACAGTCGAAGCGTGAGAGACCTCGCGCCGCTGACTGTGTCCATGCTAGTCGGAATTTAGTCTTCCCGGAGGAAGGCCCTACGTTATCTTCATGCTGATTGTTCATAATCTTCAATTTGGCTGATCAGTGTCATCTCCACGTCAGGCTAGTTCCAGGTAAATAATCTCAAAATGCTCTCGTCCAGCCAGGATGCACAAGGTTAATCTAGGCTACAAGATTCGCGTAGTCAGTGGGGGGTCCCACGACTGGATATGCAGGAAATCACAGGGAGAACATATTCACACCGCATGCTAAATGCTTAACGCCAACTCTGTGTCACGTAATCCACGCGGCGTCCTGAAGAAGTCAAGACACCATGAAACCGCGATCATAGGATCGAGTCGGTTCGTCTAATCCGATCAAAGGGTTCCAACGCCAGGTCGGACCGCTTTCTTACTTGGGGAAAGAATAATGGGAGTTCTGCTGTGCCCTAGCTCAGCTAGAGGCTTGCTGGCCCCAGTGGCCACCTGCTAGCGCCTCCGGAGGGATGCGCTGCTGCTTGATGAACAGGTCGATTAGGGGTTGCATGGGCTCCATTTCCTTATCAGAGACGAGCTTGTAGTACTTGGCCACCGTGACGAAATGGACAAAGCACATGTTAAGGATGTCATGCTTGTTAATGTGCCAGAAGGGGTTCAGCCAGTGCGCGTGGTACAAGTGGGCGTAGCATCGGAACATCTGCTTCATGATGCCCTGGCAGTCTTTATAGAACGTCTGGGGGAAGCCGCTGGACTTGCCAATCCACTCCTCTCCGGAAGTAGCGCTGGCGCCGCCTGTTTCATTGACCGCAAAGGTGTCTGGTACACCGGTAACCTTTTCCGTAGGGAACATTACCGGGTCGTGAATCTTGCTGACAATCCATTTCTCAACACGGTTGATGAACTTAGGGGCCGAGATCTTGGCGGCACGACCGTCGACCAGCCAGGTGTAGGTCAAGCTATCCGACGATGCCCATGTTAGACTGGTTTTCGAATCTTAAGCGCGGGGGAAAAAGCAACTTACCGACCAGCCGACATGGTGGGGCAGGTGTTCTCGTTACAGATCGGCAGTCCTGTAAGGCTATTGACCTCCTGGATAACCTGGAGCATGCCATGGAGCAAGCGATATTGTTCAACGACTGTGTGGAGAAAACGATCAGCGCGGGGGACTCTCCGAGCGGAAGAGGCAGCAAGTCCGCTTACTTTGATGGGCCAGCCATTCACCCAGCTCCACGTTCTTGGGACAGGCACACAACGTCAAGAAGTTACCCTTCACATTGAGGGGGGCATATTTCTCCTGAAAGAAGTACTTGGGAGCATCGGGGTCGTAGGTGGAGGAGGTGTCCACGGAGAGACTCGAGGTGAGGGACGGTGAGTTGGGCACATGGCCGGCGGGAGGCATCTGGGACGCCGGCGACGGAGCCGGACTTCCATTGTTCATCTTTGCGGGATTGTTATTGTTGTTGTTGTTGTTCTTGTTGTTATTGCCTCTGCCAAACCCTTGGCGGCTGGGAAGGGGGAAACAAGTCGCAAGTCAGTCCTGGCTGGTGTCCAGACGGAGATGTGGGGGGAAGAAGGGAAAAGGAGAGGGCGTCAGGAGATGAAGCCGCAGCGCTGAAACAAAGGACACAGACTGGTGGACGTGGCCACTGATTTCAGGGGGCATCATTCTTTTGGTGCGCCCAGGCATGTTGCAGCACTGTCCACCCAGAGAGAGCGCATGCGAGTGAAGGGTCCAACAGGGACGGGATGCATGATAGGGGAAGAGGAGGGGAAGGCACATACACACTCTGGAAGAAGGTCGCCATGATGAACGGGAATACACGTGTGCGGGAACACTGACTAATCTGGCGATCAGGCAATCCGAGATAGTTCAGTGAGAGATCCGAGGGGATTGAGGAGGGGGGAGGGAACAATCCACGACGGAGTTAATAGGGAAAGAATTGGGGAGGAAGTGAGGAGGAATGAATGAATGAATGAATGAATGAATGAATGAGTTTGGGGATGTCCCGATCTGGAATTCGACTGATTCGGTCTGGCCCGTCCACCTGCCCGCTGCGCTAGTCCCTCTTGGGCCCGGAAGGGATCATTCTATCCACCGAGGTGGTCTGTTACTTTCACTAACTCAACTCATAGTTTATTGAGTCTGAACTAGTAATAATTAACAGCTACCGCGCAGCTCCTCCCAGAGTCGCCCAGCCCCATTGATCGTACTTTGGCCCTGGTGTTATTCCTTTCCTACCCTCTTCTCAGTCTCTCTTTTTCCATACAGGGCCTTATCCAAGAACAATTTTCTCCGAACACTTCAGCTGTTCCTAGCACCAAACACAACTTCATCTTCGGCATTGACCGCGCACCCGCCGGAGCTCTCTCTTTCCCACCCATAATGTCTTCTTCAGATGAGGATGTCGTACGCCGTCCGGGGCGCAGTACAGGTGCCGTTCAACCAGGCAGTCCGTCTGCAAGTGAACACAGCGAGGCTCCGGCGCGAAGTCAGAGTCCCGCGGGCTCGGATGCGGACAACGCGAACGGCTATGATGATGCGGATCTGTTTGGTTCGGATGCTTCCGACGGAGGTTTTGGCGATGATAATGAGTATGGTCAATTGCCCCTGTTGCTAGAGAGACATTCATTGACTGGCAAACAGTCGACCCCAGCGGACGCTCGATGACGAAGAACTCGATTCCGGAGATGACGTGGATCGCAATGATCGGGTTGGAGAGCCCATGGACTATGAAGGAGGCGCAGACTATGAGGAGACGGTAAATATCATGGACATGAGCTTGAGCCGGGCGCCAGAGCCTGTGACTTCGAACGGTGAGGTATGTTCCACAAGCATCCACCTGCTGCATGACCCCGGACTCACCATTGCCCATTCTAGGTCTACACGATGCCAGTACCCCCTTTCCTATCCGTTGAAACGGAAGAGTTCAACCCAGAGACCTATGTTCCACCTCCGTTCACGACAGCGGCCACGTCGCTCTGCTGGCGCCATGACCCCCAGAACGAGTCGCTGCTGCAATCGAATGCACGAATTATCCGCTGGGAGGATGGTTCCATGACATTGCAGCTGGCGTCCGCGCCAAAGGAGCAATACCGTATTTCGACCAAGCCACTGGCGCCTCTCAGCAAGTCTGGAGAATACGATACCAAGCTAGACTCGCACGTTTATTTGGGAGCAGCCGCAGAAGCCTCCTCGGTCTTCCGGTTGACGTCCCATCTCACCCATGGACTTACGGTCTACCCGACGACCGTGGAGACTGACGACGCCGTGCAGCGTCTGCAGGAGTCGCTAGCAGCAGCAGCTCGTGGTGGCAAGAAGACGCTGGACGGATCGGCGCCGGTTATCGAAGTCAAGGAGGACCCAGAACTCGCCAAGCGGCAGGCAGAAATGGCCGAGCGCGAGAAGCTGAAGGCTGCTCGTCGCCGCCAGCAGCTTCAGGACCGCGAGATGGACCGTGGCCGTCGTCATGGATTCACCCAGCGCACCGGAGGTGCTGGTCTCACAGTGGGTGGCCTGGAAGATGACGACGGTCTCCTGACTACCCGGCCTCGCGCGAAGAAGCCTCGCAGGCCAAACCGTCGGGGCGAGATCTACACCGATGACGAAGAAGAATATGACCGTCGCGGACGCACTCGCGAAGACGAATACGACGAAGACGATGGGTTCCTGGTGGGCAGTGACGAAGAACCGGAAATCGTCGATGATGACGACGAAGAAGATGTCTTGGAGGATGAAGACGAGGACGCTGAGGGCGAAGAGGAAGACCTTCCACCCGCCAGACCGCGACAGAAACGAGCCTCCCCCGAGGCTCCTGAGAGAGGCACTCCTCCAACCCGGAAGAAGAACCGCTACATTGTGGACGATGATGATGAAGAGTAACGGCTCCTCATTTCTAAGCCATATTGACATTCTTACTTGCTTCTTCTAATGACATTGTAACTGTATCATCCATTCTGGGAGTCACTCGTCGGGCGCATGCATGGTCGTCACCACCCATTCAATGTTATATTTTAGAAATCATACCAAATATCTACAAGACTAAGGAATAACTAACGGACTCGGCAATATGCAAATTTGTACATACCGTACCGCTAGATCTATCTACATTGCTAGTAATATCACAAATTCACGAGACTAGTCCCTCCTAAAATAGAGATTGGAGGATATAGTATGATTGTCATAAATCGTAAGATAGGCACCGTTAAATCGAACCCCGGTTTCAATATGAATATGGCTCCCTCCACCCATATAGTCACCTTGTATCGATGAAAGTCATTATCAACGATGCCGGATCTACTTGGCACCCGCACCATCCGGATAATCACTTGGCTCAAAACCAAACTTCGGGATGACATTGCGCGCGCTCTGAATGATGCGCATACACAGCGCATCCCGCTGATGGCACGATTCCTCCTCCTTGGACCCGTCCGTCTTTGGTATAGGAAGGTGACGTTCCTCGACAGGCAGCGGGTGCGAGCGATGCCAACGTCGTTGCCGCTCCTCCATTTCCTCTATAAGACCAAGCAGGCTAGGCCCATCATCTGCACCCGGGGGCATACCGGCCGGATCACACGGCCCTCCTAGCACACGGAATCGCACGGTTTGCCGTAGCCAACCCTTCCAGCCTTCTGTGGGGTTGGGGGAGGCATCAATTGCTGCGGCGTAAGCCGGTGGTGCCGATTGTCGGCCGAAGTCGACGGCGTTGACTTTGGATATACGTAGCCAAGTATCGGCGATGACGGTTAATAAGGTGCCAGTGAAGGTGACATTCTGCATGCCTGTTGTGAAGCGGAGGGGACAGATTTGGCAGCGGATGACAGCTTGGGCGGTTCTGGATGCGATGTAGAGGGAGCATAGGTTGTGATGGGAGATCGGGAATGGGGCGAGAGAAGACAGATGGCTGAGACAGAGGTAGAGGCATGATAAACAAGGGCATTGGCGGTCGGATTCCTCCGAGTCCGGGGACGAGCCGGCAGAGGACTGCTGGAGTAAGGATAGGTCTGGTGGAAGGGTGTAGAGATTGGCTGCTGATGAAGAGACATTGGAAAAATCAGGCCATGGACTGACTGTCGTTGGAGCTGCATCTATTGGTTTGTTAAGGAGGAATTGCCCGGCGTCAACGTTGCTATTTGCGTCCGCAAAGAAGTTGGTCTGCCCCGTATAGTCTGACGGGGCGGTCGCGGCTGACTCAATGGTTGATGGTACAAGGGAAGCAAATTCCGAGTTATTGGTCCATGGATCATTCCCTGAGAGTCCAAAAGGTGGTGATAGATCTTCATCTTCTCGCATACGCTTCTTGGGAGGCCGTCCCATCTGTTTCTGTAGGGAGTAGTGGCAAGTGAGACTTTGTTTGACGCAGCGAGTGCAGCCAGTGGGCTCTCCGGAGCATTTTAGCTTGCGGCTTCCTAACATGAGAAAAATGATTAGCGCCAGACAGTTTCTACTTCAGCTTGACAAGAAGTCAGACATACTGCACTCATCACAGGCCGCATGTCTTTTCCCCCGCGCCACGCCTGTTGCGGCGTCACCCATGGAAGCATTGCTTGGGTATACAGAGTGTGGTTGGCTGCATTCGAGAGAGAATTGCTGGTGCATCATGCTGCAGAACCAGCGAAAATTCGAACCGGCTTTCAGCTGAGCCACGAAGGTAATATGATTATAAGGTAGTTGATCTTAAACTTCATCATAATGATTGCTTGTTATCGATAAAGTTGCGTGCCTGAGGCCAGCGAGGGGATCGATAAGAGAGGCGGTGTGTCACGTGGGCGGTATGTCTTTCCGCAAATCGAGGGCAGCAAAAAAAAAGTCGAAAAAGTCGAGCTTCGAATTCCTTCCAGCAGTGCTTCGATCCTGCACAAGTTTCTGCCCACTCGGAGTGTTCCTTCGTCGCCATGAGTGCTGCAAAGGTTTCCAAGAAGCGCAAGGCTGTCACCAAAGATGTCGAAGAGGAGGCCGGTGTGTTCTCTGGCGACGAATTGAACGTCGGCGACATCGATGGTGCGCTTTCGGACGATGCCAACGATCTATCAAGCGACGAGGAGGATTCCGAAGTTGAATTGGTTGACGACTTCAGCTCCGATGAGGATGATGATGAAGAGGAGTTGGACAGCGATGAGATCCCCTCCGACGGAGAGGCGCCTTTCAAGAAAAAGTCCGGCACATCAGCTGCGGACCTGGAAGTACCCACGAACGACGACGAGAGCTCCAGCGAGGAAGAGCAACCCAACTTCCGTATTGAAAAGGATGCCAATGGAAACGACCGTTACGTCTACGATGAGATCAACCCAGACGACAACTCCGATTACTCTGACGTCGAAGAGAATGCGAACACGATCGGTAACATCCCGTTGTCTTTCTACGACCAATACCCCCACATTGGCTACGACATCAATGGAAAGAAGATCATGCGTCCTGCCACCGGGGAGGCTCTAGACGCTTTGCTTGACAGCATTGAGATCCCCAAGGGCTTCACCGGTCTGACTGATCCCTCGACTGGTAAGCCTCTGGAGCTGAGCCAGGATGAGCTGGAGTTGCTGCGCAAGGTGCAGATGAACGAAATTCCCGAGGAGGGCTACAACCCATACGAGCCTTTGATGGAATGGTTCAGTAATAAGCAGGAAATCATGCCCCTCAGTGCTGCTCCGGAGCCCAAGCGTCGATTCGTTCCGTCGAAGCATGAAGCCAAGCGGGTCATGAAGATTGTGAAGGCTATCCGCGAAGGTCGCATTCTGCCTTACAAGCCCCCGTCCGAAGAGAAGGAGGAGGACCTTGAGCTCATCAACTATGACCTGTGGGCAGACGAGACCGAGCGTCCAGACCACCCCATGCACGTCCCTGCCCCCAAGCTTCCTCCGCCAGGCTACGAGGAGAGTTATCACCCGCCTCCGGAGTATCTCCCCGACAACAAGGAGCGCAAGGCCTGGCAGGAAGCCGACCCCGAAGACCGGGATCGGGAATTTCTCCCTACCGACTTTGGCTCTCTCCGCAAGGTCCCTGGTTACGGCGAGTTTGTCAAGGAAAAGTTCGAACGTTGCTTGGATCTTTACTTGGCTCCTAGAGTTCGCCGCAGCAAGCTCAACATCGACCCGGAGAGTCTGCTCCCTAAGCTGCCCAGCCCTGAAGAGTTGAAGCCGTTCCCGTCTGTCTGCGCCACGGTGTTCCGGGGACACAAGGGCCGTGTTCGTTCTCTTGCCGTCGACCCCACGGGTGTGTGGCTCGCCACTGGTGGTGACGATGGCACTGTCCGCGTTTGGGAATTGCTCACTGGTCGCCAGCTGTATAGCGTCAAGGTGGGTGAAGAGGATCCTGTCAACGTTGTCCGCTGGAGGCCGAGCAAGGATGCCGTGGTCTTGGCTGCCGCCGCCGGTGACGACATCTACCTCATCGTGCCCCCGATTCTCGACCCCGAACTTGAGCAAGCCAGTTTGGACCTTCTCGACGCCGGCTGGGGATACGCCGCTTCGAAGCCTGCCCCGAAGGCCTCGGAAGAAGGCAAGAAGACCACCCCTCCCCAGTGGGTGCGCCCCTCGGCCGCTCTCGCCGACAATGGCGTGTGCGCCGTCATTCCCCTCCGCTACGTGGCCAAGTCTATCTCATGGCATCGCCGCGGTGACTACTTTGTTACCGTCTGCCCGGGCTCTTCTACCCCGGCTTCCATGGCCATTGCCATTCACACTCTGTCCAAGCACTTGACCCAGTACCCCTTCAGCCGGCGCATCAAGGGTGGTGGCCCGCCCCAGACCGCGCACTTCCACCCCTCGAAGCCCATCCTCTTCGTTGCCAACCAGCGCACCGTCCGTGCCTACGATCTCTCCCGCCAACTGCTCGTCAAGATCATCCAGCCCGGTGCCCGCTGGATCTCCTCGTTCGACATCCATCCGACCTCTTCCACCGCTTCGGGCGGAGACAACCTCATTGTCGGATCCTACGACCGCCGTCTGTTGTGGCACGATCTTGAACTCTCCCAGCGCCCCTACAAGACCCTCCGTTACCACCGCAAGGCCATTCGTGCCGTCAAGTTCCACCCTAGCGGCCGCTACCCTCTGTTCGCGGACGCCAGTGACGACGGCTCTCTCCAGATTTTCCACGGCAGTGTCACGGGTGACATGCTCAGCAATGCTAGCATTGTGCCGCTCAAGGTCCTCAAGGGCCACAAGATCACCGGCGAGCTCGGTGTCATGGATCTCGACTGGCACCCGCGCGAAGCCTGGTGTGTCAGTGCCGGTGCGGATGGAACCTGCCGGTTATGGATGTAATTATTATAATTGGTCTTCCTTGTGTGTATCCTGTTCAAATTTACATGGGAGGCGTTTTGGTGTGTGCATAACTAAATTTAGAGTTTCTGATATCCAAAAGTTCATTCACTCCTTCATTGGGTTGTTTGCTGTTGAAGTTCATACCAGTAGTAGTAATAAGTTGTAGTAACTACTCAGTGGCCGCATGGTTTTGAATAACCCTCAAAAGATCTATCATTATTCATCACTTTTTTTTTTGGATCCCTCCACACTCTCTATATGCACACAATGAAGAAACAGCACAAAAGAGATAATAAGTAAAAGAAACAATCCCAAAGGTACATCGATGTATGTACACACACCAAACACTGACTGAATAATCTAATTATTATTATTTACACCACACCACCACTCCAATCCCTCCTCAACTTCTCATACTTCTTCAAATCCGTAACACTAGGCCGAATGAACGCCTTGGCAGCGACAAAGTCCTCGAACTTGATACTATCCCGTCTCTTAATAGCCGAGTAACCAGCGCGACGAAGCAAACTACCCAGATCAGCACCACTGAAGCCCTCACACTCCTCGGCAAGTCTGCGCAGATCCTCATTGAACTCGATAGGCAAGTTCCTGACGAGGGTCTGCAGGATCTCGACACGTTCAAGCGGACTGGGCAAGTTAACAAAGAGAAGGGTCTCCAGACGACCGGGGCGCAGCATAGCCGGGTCGATGATATCGGGCCGGTTCGTGGCCGCGATGACGTAGAGGCCTTGACGGCTGCTGCCGAGGCCATCGAGTTCAGTAAGGAGGGTGTTGACGACGCGGGCGGAGGCTTCAGAGAGGGTATCGTCACGACGGGGGACGAGGGCGTCGAGTTCATCGAAGAAGATGACGCAGGGGACGGAGGAGCGGGCGCGAACGAAGACCTGGCGGACGGCGCGTTCGGATTCACCAACGAATTTGTTGAGAAGTTCGGGACCCTTGACGCTGATGAAATTGGCGCGGGACTCGTTGGCCACGGCTTTGGCGAGGAGCGTTTTACCGCAACCGGGGGGACCCCAGAGGAGGACGCCGGTGGGAGCGGTGATACCAACGTTGGCGTAGATTTCGGGGTTCTTGATGGGTTCGACGATGGCGGTGGACAGTTCGTCGCGAATGCCGCCGAGGGCACCGATGTCAGCCCAGGTGGTGTCGGGGATAGTGGCGAAGCCTTCGCGCTTGGAGGAGGGTTGAATCTTAGGGAGAGCTGTGAAGAAGTCGGCGTTGGAGACGAGGACAGTTTGGGTTTCGTCGCCGATGGGCGTTTCTTTAGCGTGGGTGATGAGGCGGCGGAGTTCTTTGACCTTAGGGCTGATGATGTCGGCTTCGCCTTCGATTTCCATTTCCATTTCCTCGCCGCTGTTGGACTTGAGGAGTTCGAGGTAGCGTTTGATGGCGGCGGCACCGGCGGTGGCAACGAGGTCGTTCAGATCAGCACCGACGAAGCCGGGGGTACGCTTGGCAAGGGTCTTGAAGTCGAGGTCGTCGACGAGACGCATCTTGCGGGTGAGGGCGCGCAGGATCTGCTCGCGGACGGGCTCCGAGGGGACGGTCATGTTGATTTCCTTGTCGAAACGACCTCCGCGACGCAGGGCTGCGTCCAAGCTGTCGGGACGGTTGGTGGCCGCCAGGACGATGACGGGCTTTCCGTCGGTCTTTTCGAGGGCCAAGTCGTCCATGCAGGTGAGGAGTTGGGCGACGATGCGCTTCTCCATCTCTCGTTGGGCGCTTTCACGCTTGGGGGTAATAGCGTCGATTTCGTCAATGAATATTAAGCAGGGCGCGATTCTCTTGGCTTCTTCGAAGTATTCGCGGAGAGCCTTCTCGGACTCTCCTGACATGCCGGAGATGACGGATGGAGCGGATATGGAGATGAAGGGGACGCCCAGCTCGGCGGCGAATGCGTTTGCGATCATGGTTTTACCGCAACCTGGCGGACCATGTAGCAGAACACCGCGAGGAGGCTGGACATTAGACGACATGTAAACTTGTGGGCGTGTCATGGGCAGGATGACAAGATCCCCGAGCTCCTGCACGACATCGTCCAATCCACCCAGATCGGCCAGACTGATATGTGTGGGAGGAGAACGGTCGACTGCGGCCTCAGCCTTGCGGCGCTTGGAGGACTGCGATTCACCACCATGGTGTCGTTTCTTCGTGGAGGTAGAAGGTGGTGCTGTTGACTCGGCGGTGTTGGATTCGCTCTGTTTCGAGGGCTTCGAGCTGTTGGTTGTATTCCACATACCAACCAGGCTCTTGTTGAGGCTGTTGGATTCCTGCTCCCGTCAGCTACCTCTTCATTGCTAGCCAGATTCTAAGCCGCTTCTGAAGGCAGGTACCCCATGAAGCGGCGCGCATGTCGCATACCGGTGCCGGTGGCTCCTCCAGACCTTCAAAGTCGCCGTCTATGGAGTCGTTCTCATCTTCCCCGAGGACGTCGGCTTTCAGCACTTCCACCACGCGCTCGATGCTGTCTTCGAGAATGCGCTTCGGCTTCCTGTTCAGGCTGGAATTGGACCGCTTGATGGTATCGTAAATGCTGGAGACCGACAGGCGGAATTGGGCATTCTCAGCATTATCGTCGATGATTTTGCGCACGATCTGGTAGATCTGTGTATAGCGAGTTTAGCGATGATCGCATTGAACAGGCCGAGGGACGAGTCGCAGCACTTACATCCTTGTCGAGGCCCTGCCTCAGCGTCGGCCTGCCCCCACGACGCATCTTGAAATAGAGCAGGGGCTATGAATGCGATAATCGGGGGTGATAAAGATCCCCGCTGGCGATGAATTCCCACAATTTTAGAGACCCGGAGAATTGATGCGCCGGCGGAGAGCCCCAAAATCGTCTGAAAACACCGGCAGATTTCCGAGAACGGGACACTAGTCCCGATGGGGCAATAGGACGATAACGGACGTCATCTGCGGTAGACTCACTCACTTCTCACTAGTTATCTATCATTCTATCACCGCCGGCCTTTGACTGCTTCCCCTCAAGCATCCTCGGGAACAAAGCAACATGCGCTGACAATGGGAAACACAAACAGCACCCATAAGATCTCTGCTCAGGACCGGTGAGTCTATTAATATCATTTCAATGGGATTCGCCCTGTTGCTGTCTCCATCAGCGCCGACCGGCACGGGTCACGAGCCCCATTCCCCGTCTCCGACCGATAAACTAACGCTCTCAACGCTCAGGGCAATCCTTGACCTCAAGAACCAGCGAGACAAGCTCCACCAATATCAGAAGCGAATTACCGTCTTGACAGACCGCGAAACCGACATCGCGAAACAATGTCTCGCCAGGAATGACCGCAAGCGCGCCCTGCTTGCCCTGCGTCGCAAGAAGTACCAGGAGTCGCTGCTAGATAAGACCGACAAACAACTCGAGCAGCTCGAACAGCTTACGGGGCAGATTGAATTTGCGCTGGTTCAGAAAGACGTTCTTTTCGGCTTGCAGCAAGGGACCAAGGTCCTGCAGACCATTAACAAGGAGATGGGTGGCCTTGAGGGGGTGGAGAAACTGATGGGCGAGACGGAGGAAGCGAGAGCCTATCAAGAGGTAAGCTTTCACTGTCAATGGTTATCTGAGAAGGGTATTCTGGATTGGATGCTGACTAGTTGGTGGTGGTTGTACAGGAAATCAGCGAGATGCTTGCTGGACGCTTGTCCACTCAGGATGAGGATGAGGTCGAAGAGGAACTGGAGGCTTTGCAGCGGGATACGCAGGGCCCGGTTGTCTTGCCGAATGCGCCCAGCTCTAAGCTCCCAGAGCACGTGGAGGGAGTCAAGGAGGACGAGCATGCCGCGGAAGAAGAGGCCCAAGTCGAGGAGCGAACTGCAATTCTTGCTTAAGACTGTGCCATCCATATGATCTCTTTCTTTCGATATTAGCATTGCCGGCGTTGGTGGTTTCAGGAAATTCAAGTATAGTATAGCATTGTTAGATATGTTTCGCTATTTGAACGCTAGCAACTAGACCGTCGAAACATGGATTGGCGTGCATTATCTTGATAGAGCCCAGCTCAATACCCAAGGCAGTATCCGTAGCTTCTGATCAATCATTCCAGTCTGTCACAGACCTCATACATTCCAGACCAACATATGGCCGCCCCATGTTCAAACAAATACTGAAATCCGATCCATATTACTCCCGCTCACAGGATCCTGCTCCCCACCCCATTCACACCCTGGATAGCAACATGATCACCCGGATTTGCGGCCGCCTCATACAAGAAACTGATCGGCTCCCTATTCAGCACCATGAATTGTCCCTTGAAACCAATATACCCGACCTTGGTGACGTCTTCTTCCCCATCACTCCAGTTATCCTCGAAGAACAGAGTGATGGAGGTAGTCGCATTCCAATGCGCCCGGTTCAGTGGCAACTCGAAAACATCTGCGCCCGGCATAGGTTGGGGTATCTCGACTGTCTGCGTGGGCTTTAGGTCCGAAGCTGTTCCGAAGTCCAGGTCGTCGCGATTCTTGAATAGCTTTAGGGTCTTCGGGGCAGATGGGGTGGGAGCGGTGTATATAAGGAGGGAGTGAACTTTAACTTGGCCGGTGAACCTGGAAATTTTGAAATTAGCAGCTAGTTCATGGATAAGATGGTGGTTGTGGTGTAAAAGACTGTTGAATGCTGGGTTTGCGACAAGAAGCTGAGATGAGGGGCATTTGGCGGGGTAAAAAACCACATCACAAACAGCAGATCCGGTCGATAACCACGACGATATTAAGGGGTGTAACATACGGAATATACATCAGCAGCTGTTCGTCTGCGTCGCTCTCCAGCTCCGGCTCATCATCGAGCCTTTCGGCCCATGTTTTCTTGACAATCGCCGCGCCGGACTTGGGACTGGCCTCTGCAGGTGGGATCCCGGGTTAGCATGCACAGCACTACTTGCAGCAGGTGTTTATGTCGCGTTGTGCCTACCGTTTAATGTAGTGATCGAGTCAAACTGGATTTGAGAGTAGAGGAGAGATTGAATTGCGGGGGTGATGTCGTTGGAATGGTCATGGCCGTCTTCTCCGTGGCAATGGCCGCCGTGATCGTGGTGGTGGTGATGACCTGACATATTCGACTTGGGAGATTTCGAAAAGACTGACACTGATTTATTTAAGTGTCTGATTGGTAGAGTATTGTAAATCTGTGGACTGCAGTGTATGCGATGTTGTAGAAGAGGTTAAGAAAAAGATGGGTCAGCGTTGTTGTTCTTCGGCGAAAGGACCGTCTGGCTGCTGTGAAATGATGCGCATCATGATCCAGGTGACCGATTGCTTGTTTCATTCACCACCCAGGTACGCTTTACACCTGTAAGCATATGTTAATTATTGTGTTCCCCTTGGAATAGCAGGATTTACTGATACTAATAAATTCTACAGGTAACAGAAAGAAGGAATATGCATCTCTAACATTCTATAGAGGTCAACGCTGGCGGGTATTGTACAGGCAGGCATGTCGTCAATCACAATCACTAATAGGTTCACCATCATATAAGTCCCATCAAGGTACGCACTATGTCATATTGCTCAATGGAGCTGATAGTAGTTCGGGGCGTATTCGAGAAGGTAGTTCTTCTCGATCTTAGTGATATCGCGGATGAAGGTCTTCTCGCCGGTCTGTAAGATCTCATGGAAGATGACCCAATCGGCTTTCCGGTTCTATTTGGCCCAGTTAGCAAATGACTACATAGATAGATAGTATAGAAACCTAGATTGTCAACATACAAACATCAATGAACTCGGGTGAGCATGGAGAGTCAGGCCTCCGCTCACCGTCTTAAAGGTACCATCGGGCTGCATCTTCGCGGCGTGTGCGAAATAGCCCGTAGTAAGACACCTACGAATCTGTTCCGCAAGTTTACTTGGGTCTTCTTGCCGAGACCGTGCGGAAAGAGTCTCGTCGACCTGGATTCCAAAACGCTCAAGATACCGCTTCAACTGGCCCCGAATGCTCACAGCTCGCTGCAAAGATCGATAGTTCAGAAGATTGTCCCGGCACCATTTGGACTCCTTCTTGCCTTTGGTGATAAATGCTTGGTACACGTTAAGGTACGTTAGGTGATCACCCTCTTCAACTGCGAACTTTCTCCGGTGGCTCTCCGATGACTTCCTGTCGCCTTCATGCTGGACCCATACGGTCCCCTGAAGGCTCACCATGGCAGCAATAGAGAGGATCTCACTTAAGCAGTTGAAAGATGGCGCTGATAGCAGCACCTTTGCCATCATTGGATCGACTGCCAGCTCTGCCATGCGCATCCCATGAGGCTTCGTGAGTTTGGCATAGTCGTCAATTGCTCCCAAAGAGTACAGCAGCTCGAATGCGCGAATAACAAGCTCTGTAGAAGGGGGAGTCAGGAATTCGAATCGTACGATGTTGTCGATACCCAAAGCCTTGAGCTGCATGATCACAGGTGCTAGGTTTGACCGCTGGATCTCCGGAACGGTGGCCTCGGGGAGTTGCTCATAGGCCTGCTGCGTGTAGAGGCGGAAGCACTTCCCAGGTTTGGTACGCCCGGCTCGGCCAGCACGCTGAACAGCCGCTGCCTTTGATATGGGCACTGCGGTCAATGCCTCTATGCCAGTCTGCGGGTTATAAGCTCTTAATTTGGCGAAACCGCAGTCAATGACATACACAATCCCGTTAATAGTAACAGATGCTTCGGCGATGTTGGTCGACACGATGACCTTGCGGGTGTTTTCTGGTGTCGGTTCAAACACGTACATTTGCTGGTCCGTTGTGAGGCCAGAGTAAAGGGGCAACGGAAGTATACTCTGCGCCTTGGGATGCAGCGTTGCGGCACGTTCAGCGATCATCTGCACCGTGGTATCAATCTCCTCTCGGCCAGTCAAGAACACCAAAATATCACCTTCCGCCTCTTGAAGATGGATGTCGAACACGGTTTTGACTGCGCGTTCGACATAGTCTTCTGCAGGGTTCTCGAGAAAGAGCATGTCCACCGGATACATGCGACCTTCTAGACTGATGATCCTTCCCACCTTGCCGCCAATTTCACCGGATTCCGGACTGCTGTCAAACTCCTCACCAGCGAAGAATCGCAGAAAGTCTTCAGCTTGCAAGGTTGCACTACTGACCACAATCCTAAGCTCCGGCCGTCGTTTCATGATCTTTTTCAGGATACCCAGGAGGATATCAGTACTGAGGGACCGCTCATGAGCTTCATCCACCATGATTACAGAGTACCTTGACAGCAGAGGATCTACGAGTGCCTCCCTAAGTAACATTCCATCTGTAAGGAACTTGATCCTGGTGGAAGCCGAGGTCAAGTCCTCAAAACGAATTGAGTAGCCCACCTCTTCGCCGAGCTTGCAGCGCATTTCCTCAGCTACCCTAGCGGCGACCGTGGTAGCAGCCACCCGACGTGGCTTAAAAATATTAGCTTTTCTTTTTGCATCCGAGTTGATCTGAAGGAAAATCATACCTGTGTCACGGCTATGGCCTTCCCATCTGCACACCATCCTGCTTGGTCGAGATACTGGGGTAGTTGGGTTGTTTTCCCACTTCCTGTTTGTCCAACGACAATGGTCACCGGATATGTTTCAACCAGATACAACAAGCTCTGCTTATGTCTTGCGATTGGAAGCAATGCGGCCGGCTTGTATAGAGCCGGGATAAAGCTGGTGGACAGATCCAGCTCGGAAGCCATTGCGATTGGGCCTTGAATGATAATGGACCTAGGAGGTGATTTGCAGCACCGATTCCAAGCAGGGGCAAGCTATTATTGCGCTATAAAACCCCAGGTAAGCATATTGAAATCGCAATTTCCGTGTCAGCTGCGCAAGCCTTGCACTGCCAGAATTGAATCCAGATTCTACTTTGACGAAGTAGATATTGTTGGAGCACCTGCAGCAGTGCTTACCTAAGCACCGGGTCCATCACGTGGCGCAACGTCACTCCGCGGGCATCGGAAGTGCGAAGGGGGCTGAGAGGCTCCGAAGCTCCAATCGCATCATCCCCAGCTTGCTTTCTGCCTGTTGGGCAAATTTCCTGGTCGCATAAATACCTCCAAGGCCTGCGAAAGCTTGGCACTCTTCTCCACCTTCTAGACAGCAAGTTTGCAATATTCTAACGCTGCCTAAGTTGCTCTCACGATGTCGGAAGAAGACAAGACTGTAGGTTGTCCTCTATATCCCGCTCCTTATACCTCATGCCCGGCCACTCACTCGCAGCCAGACTCCCAATAAACTCTCCACTGGACCACTTAGTCCCAAACCCGAGTCGCCGACTACTGCGCGCCCTCTCGATTTTGATGATGAACCCCAGGAAACCGGTGTCACCGCAGCGCCGTCAACAGCCCCTACTCAGCAGGGCGCTGCGGAAGCTGCCCCGCCTAAGCCACCCCGCCCATTGAGCCCCCGTCAACAGGCCGAGAATACTCTCAAGGAAGCATTCCCCTCTATTGAGGCATCGGTGATCAAGGCAGTGTTGGTAGCCAGTAACTGGGATGTGGAACGGTCATTCCATGCTTTGCTTAGTACGTGTGGATTGCGACGGACAGTACTGCTATGCGCGGTCACTAACAAGTCCCTTTAGGCATGACGGATCCCAGCGCTGCCGAACAAGATGCGCCGCCCCCGAAGCCACCACGCCCAACTGCTGCGCAGAGGCAGCTAGAAGCGGATGAGATGTATGCCCGTCAGCTGGCCGAGCACTACAACCGTCCTGCGCGCCAACCCCGTTGGGACAACGAGTACCCACAGCAGCGGCCGCGAAGGGGAAGCGATGGATCGGAGGAGAAAGAATACAGCTTTTTTGATGGTCGGTGATATGGATCTTTACTACGTTATCTTGGTCGCTAACAGCTGGCCTGTATAGATGATCTCCCAGTGATCCGCGAGAACCTTCGCAAAGGATTCTTAGATACCCAGACGAAGGTCAACTCGTGGGTCCAGAACCTGAAGAAACGCCTCGACGGCGAACCCGAGGCCGGCCCTTCTGGTCAAGGCCAGCCTGAAGAGAACTATGGTAGACCTAGACGGAGCGGAGACCTAAGTCGTCGAAGCGGCGATCGCGAACGCTACGATGCCGATCATCGCATTCTGAACGACGACTTTGCCTCACTTGAACTGAGAGATGCGGAAGGTACGTTGACCCTGAACTTTCCCTAATTCTGCACTAAATCCACATTCGAATGCTGACCTCCGTTCGCAGCTCCTCCCCCGCGCCCCCCACGGCCCCTCGCCAACCCCGACCTGTTCAAATCCTCATCACCTTCCCCTGATCGACGCAAGGTCTCTTTCCAGGAGGGACCGCCTACTGAAATTGACAACCTCTACGATGCCTCTGAGCCCGTCAGACGTACGTCCCCCGCGACAGGCAAGTCGAGCAAGTGGCAGCCTCTGTCGACTGTTGACCCTTCGCCCGTCGGGGAACATGACCCATTCAGTCTTGGCGACAGTGATGATGAGAAAGAAAAGGAAGTCAAGGCCAAGGAGCAGAGCACGACCGAAGCTGGGCCGGCCAGCGAAGCGTCGAAAGACAGCAGCAGCAAGGCCGAGAATGCTGGCAAGTCGTAGGGCTTGTTCAGTGATCGATTAATAATTATGAGAGTTTCCTTTTTTGCCTCCTCCCCGACACATGCCGTTTCATCCCTAGCACCACCTGTCTGCTACATGTACTCTTCATACCATTACCCTGATAATGGCCATATGGCCGACGTTAATGATACCAAAGACTGCACTAGTGGGAAGTCCCAGAGACCGGTCCATCCCTAACGAGGACTATGAATACGACGAATATTACCACGATTAGTAGTAGACCGCTCCATCATGTCCATCATATTATTCCATTCTAATTAAAGAATAAACGGGTATCACAAGGAAAAACCAACCCAAACAGAAAGAAGCAGAAAACGCCATAGATACCTAAAATAGTCATACTAAACACACAACCCACAACCCCAGGTTAGATTCTTAACAGCCATCTATCTCACTCCGGCAAACCCTGCTGCTGCTGCTCATTCGCGAACCCGCGCGGCACACCAGATTCTTTTCTTAGATCCTTAATGACCGCCTAATAGACAGCGTCAGCTTCCATCCCTCCGGAACAAAGTAAACATATAATCACATGATAGGAATGCAAGAACTTACAGCAAGAGCATCCGGATTGACTCCATTCTCAATCAAGGACACACAAAGCGACAGCTCCGTGCGGTCTAAATTAGTGTTCTGGATGAAGTTCGGATATAGTTAGTCAATCAAGCAATCAATCGATCAATCAGTTAACTCAAGTGTGCATTATGTGTCTTGTCAGATGAGATGACACCAGATCAGTCTAGACCAGGAAGTCTGGTCTATTCCGGCCTGGCATGTTGGTGGGAGGTGAGATGGATAGGAGCAGCAGTAGATGATAGCAGAAGCTAGAATATTCGATGGTAACAATAATAATAGAGTAAAGGGAAAAGAAAACGCCATGCAGAAGAATGAAAGGAAAATCGGTGGAGGAGGGTGTGGTGTCACGTACAAGAAGGGTGGAAATCTCGTGAAGAATGTCAATAACTTCGCGGGCGGCCTGGCGTTTGTCGTCGGCTTGGGAGGGCATTTTCGGGGAGGGAAAATGTAGTAAAGTCTTTTGTTTGGAAGTGAGGGTTGAGTGAGAGAGAGAGAAGGACGGGATGATGAAACGATGGACAGAATGCTGGAAAGTGTATATTGGGGACTATAGAGTATAAGCTATAGATAGAAGTTGACTGGAGTTGTAGATTGTAAATAGTTAATTGAAAGTATTCATTCCTATCCGGTCTTCAACTCAATATTACTCAAATACTGAGGTGAAACGTCGTATTGTAAGTATGGTACTGCGGTGACTAGCGTATCATGCACTATACCTAGATGGGACAAAGGAGTATCTGTGATTGGTTTTTCCTCTACTAGAAAACTTCCCAGTTACTCTTGACAACTCGGGCAATCGAGCTGAATTGAGAGCCATTGGACCTTCGCACGACATTGGGCATCTGCTGAATCAGAAGAGAAATCTCTAGTGAACTATCCTTCGTGCTCCGGGATAATTGTGGAACCTCCCCTGTCAACTCCCCATCTTCCAAACGATCGTGAATGTAGATCCTGGAGGGGTTCTCCGGAATGCCGCCAGCGGATCTGACTCCCAGTCTGACCATCTCAGACATCCATTCCTTGAAGAGAGACCAGGCCCTGGAGATTCTTGCCCAGATTTCACGCGTCGAGAAGAAGACCTTCCCCGCTAACGAGGCATTCAGTTTCGGTGAGGAACTCTGGCGCAAGAAGCCCAACACGAGGGTTCTGTATGTGACCCGTGCACCATCGGCTCCGGATGATGTCCGCCCAACCTTGCTGGCCTATGCCGTCTACGTCCGCCAGAAGGGAATAGCCCTACTGCACAAAGTTTGCGTGGGTGAAGCACATCGCCGCCAGGGTGTCGCGATGCGGCTCATGAACTATATTCGAGCTCGTCTACAGAGCGAGGGGTGTCAGCAGATCCAGCTATGGGTCGACAAAGCCCGCTCGCCCGCTAGATCTCTCTACGTCCGCAATGGCTTCAAGGAGCGTGACGAGATCCCGGACTATTATGCTCCAGGGCGTACCGGGATCAAGATGGTTCTCGATCTTTAGCTGTAGCGTGGGCCCTGTACCCGCCCTGTCGCGCCTAAGCATGGCCTTCGGCCCCTCGATAGACAGGCCTGATCCCCCTACCCCTCCGCTTTACGCGGTGGAAAGGAGCCACAAGACTTCTCCTTGGTACTTTTTGTTCGAAACTAGGGTGGCTTTGCCTGTCAAATACTCTCCCTTAAGCCTTCGGGAAATACGAACGCTATTGAGAGGGAGGGGTTGGGCCGGCTATGCTCCTGTGTGGACTCCTGCAAGCCATCCCTTGCAGGCGCGTGCATTCGCAACGTGATTGAACTCCCGCGCCGCGAACCATCCATCTCTAACCATTCCCATACTTCAGTGACGTCAAACATATCCAGGTATGGCTCTGTAGAAGGGGCCACACGCTTCGCGCCTCTCCTGTGCCCAATGGGCCCTTGGGCGCGGTGGCCCTGGGGCATACTCTTTGCCCTAAGGGTAGGCTGTTTCCGCCACTTTTGCTCTTCCAGCTGCCACCTTCTATCTTTGTCGTCTCTTTCTCTCTCACTTTCTTGTGAACTTCATATACAGTCCTAGATCTTACTTCAAGCTGTGCTTGGATGATACGTCTGGAAGATCTATAGGAACGTCTATCGAATACCTGCCAGGACCGTTCCACTTGCTTAGGAGATATGGCGCTCTTTGCGTTGGCTCTCCTCAGCATCCTGGTGACTGTTGTTGCAGGTCTGCAGGCCAGCTACCCTGTTAACGCGCAGCTACCTCCGGTAGCCCGGGTATCGGAGCCATTCGAATTTGTCTTCTCGCCGGGCACCTTTTCTGGCAGCGATGACAACACACAATACTCGCTTTCGAACGCGCCGTCATGGCTCGAAGTCGACAGCCAATCCCGCACGCTATCCGGAACACCGCAGAAAGATGATCAAGGATCACCGACGTTCGATCTTGTGGCCTCAGATGGCTCGGAGTCTGTGGACATGCAAGTCACGTTAATTGTAACAACCGATGATGGACCGCAACCAGGAAAGCCGCTGTTCTCACAACTCGAAGACATGGGGGCAACCTCGGCCCCAGACACCATCCTCCTACACACTGGCGACTCTTTCTCATTATCTTTTGAGCCGGACACGTTCACCAACACGCGCCCGTCAACGGCCTACTATGGCACATCTCCAGACAACGCACCGCTACCCTCATGGATTGTTTTCGACCCAGCATCACTCAGCTTCTCTGGTACAACGCCAGGTAGTGGACCTCAAACATTCAGCTTCAATCTTATAGCCTCGGACGTGACTGGGTTCAGCGCAGCTACCATGACCTTTGAGATGACCATCAGTCCACATATCTTGGCGTTCAATCGGAGCACGCAGACATTCTTCCTCTCAAAAGGACGGCAGTTCACTAGTCCGCAGTTTGCCAGTAATCTCACCTTGGATGGACATGACACGACGAAGAGTGACTTGACCGACATTAAGGTGGATTCACCGGATTGGTTGTCCCTAGATGACGAGACCATCTCTCTGAGTGGCACGCCCCCTGCGGATGCCACCGATAACAATGTCACGATTACCGTGACGGATAAATATCAAGACGTAGCCACGCTGATTGTCAGTCTACAGTTCAATCAATTCTTTCGCAACGACCAGAATGTATGCGATGCTATCATCGGGCAGTTCTTTATGCTGGTCCTCGACGACTCTGTCTTGACCAACGATTCTGTCCAGGTAGATGTTGACTTAGGGCAAGATCTTTCCTGGCTTCACTATAACCGTGACAACAAGACTATATTCGGACAAGTTCCCTCAGATATCAGTCCGGGAAGCTATCATATCAACCTCACTGCCCGGGAGGGTACCGCAGAGGACACTCGGCAGTTAACTATCAAGGCGATGTCAGAAGGGACCACAGGCGGGCCAGGTACAATCAATTCTACAGCCTCCGATGCAAAGAATAGCATTCGCGGAGGCAAGGCCGGTATTATTGCTATTGCTGTCGTCGTCCCCTTCGTGTTTCTGAGCACTGCCTTGCTTCTATTCTGCTGCTGGCGGCACAAGCGTAAAGCGGCCGCAAAGAAATCTCAGGATGGACAGGAAGCCGAGAAAACGCTATCAACTCAGCCAGAAGGCGAAGGTATCACACATAGTCGGCCTTATGAGGAAACTTCCCAGGGCGAGCCCCCTAGGATTCTGAGGATCCCTTCACAATCATCGGAGCCTCCAAAACTGGAGCTACCATTGTGGCATGCGAGCCCGTCGAAAGGCAATGAGCAAGCACCAGACGCAGCCGGCAAAGAAAACACCCTCTCCGATCCTACGTTCGATTGGGGAGGTTTCGCTTCTCTCAAGGGACCCGAACCAGAAGAGGCCAAACCAGTGGAGGAAGCACCGCCACAGCCGAAACGCTTGTCTTTCCAGAACAGCCCCCCCTTACACCGACGAACAACCACAACTAGTTCTAGGAGACGAGAGCCCCTTCGGCCGATTCAGCCTAGGAGGTCCCTGAAGCGAAATTCTACCACCCGATCGCGTAGATATTCCAAACGGTCAAGTGGTATATCTACAGTGGCGTCCGGACTTCCAGTCCGACTCAGTGGTGCCGGACATGGGGCCGGTGGTTTCGGACCTCCAGGACATGGCGTGGTCCGTCTTTCCTGGCAAAACACACAGGCTTCGTTCGGAAGTGACGAGAGTGACGTAGGAAACCTAGCGCCGCTGTTTCCACGACCGCCACCTCGAACCAGAGAGAGTGGGGATTATTCCAGACGAATGAGCCTTCGAACAGTCGAGCCTGACGAATCGACCATTTCCGAAGCGGACTCACTAGAGGCGTTTCTTCACAGCCGCGCAAAGAGTCGGAATTCGTCCAACCCGCTCTTCGCAGGTCAATTTGGCCGTCGAGCGTCATCAGGCTGCCGAGCTCTCGAAAGAGCTCGAAGCACAGCCAGTCGCGCCGACACAGTAGCCAGTTCCAACTACATTGAGGAATATCGAAACTCAATTCAAGAGCGGCCGTGGTCGACAGCCATGTCTGCCTCCATTTACACGGATGATCATCGTCAGTCGGCTTATTTACATAGCCTGTCCGAAGAATCTTCAGACATGGGGCCACCCCGCCCCGTGGGCAAACTGCCCAGCCAATCGAGTCTGGCGCAGAACTACTCTGAGACGATTGCGCCCCTGCCTCGCTTCTACAGCGAAGTAAGCTTGGATGAGCCGAAACGGTTCGATGGAGGGCCGGGATTGGGGAAAGAGAACGATCCGCCCACTGAGCGGCAGCTCGGCGGGAGCTCACGCCCTTGGTATCAGACCGGCTTTTACACCCACGGTGACATAGCTGGTGCCGGACAGTCATCGCGGAAAAGCCCTTCACTCTACTCCATTCCTTTCGATTCCAAATCACGCCGAGTGAGCTTGAACCGAGCGGTGGAGCGGGAATGGGAAGAGCTGCACAGTATGCAGAGGGAACCGGCAGGAAGCTTGAGAAACAACGCAGCCTTCTTGTGAATGGGGTGACAAACGCAATGCTTAGTGTTTATGTTCATATTGGTTTTATGGTTTTGCTTCACTGTCGACCAGGTCGTTTAGAAAAGTGTTCGGCGAGCGTGATATCCATGGATTCTGAATTTGGTTTCTTTGTTGATCCTCGGACCGTTGGACGGTTCTGCGCTTATCTAGTACCCAGTAGTGTTTAGCTAAATAATCAATCCATTTAATATATCACTTGCATTGGGTCAGCAGAACAATGGGCCAGTAAACAGCGGTAAACCCTTGTTCCCGCTTATCGGACATCGGAGAAGCGCCCATGTGTCACCAACTGATCCATTTAGCTCCTAGTAAGATGCGTCGGATCCTTTGGCCAGCGCCATGGCCGTTCCTTTTAGCGTCATTTGGGAATGAGGCTAATCAAAGCCCATCCTTATCATCATTTCTGGGACAGAGGGGGGTTCTTATTCCTTCCCTCAGCCTCTTCGCCCTCGAGTTTGAAGCATTCCTCTTCATCTGAATGAAGCCTGGGATTCCTTCATCATGACCATTGCTTCCGAACAGCCAGAAACACCCTCTGAGACAACTTCTCTCTTAGCTGAGCACAATGAACTTCTTGTGCAGCCAAAAAGTGTTACGCGTAGAGCCCAGCAAGTCTTATTTCTTGCGTGCCTCATAGCGGTCACTGTCGATATCGGCAACTACATCTCCGTGGCTCCCCAACTTCAGATATTCGAGTTGAACATTTGCCAGCGCTTGCATCCGGAGGTCTTCGATAGCAACCCTGGCGGGGTTCTCCCTTCAGTGGTTCCTTCGGCTTGCAAGACTGCTGATGTGCAGGGTGAGCTGGCGTTGCTCAAAGGTTGGATGAGCACCTTTGACCAGCTTCCGGGCATTATTCTGGCGCTTCCATATGGACTCATGGCAGATCGCGTTGGTCGTAAACCAGTCTTATTTCTAAGCCTGGCTGGGTGTGTCTTGCAAGAGATGGCAATCAGAGTCATCGGTAAGTTAAGCTGATGTTGCGACGTGGAGGGACAGGCTAACTCCAATGTGAAAGCCTGGTATTATGCGACCATCCCCCCACGAGCTATTTGGTTTACGCCAATCTTTCAGATTTTTGGTGGCGGTTCTCAGATAGCTACCTCAGTGGCTTTCACTATCATCGCGGATGTTTTCCCGGTAGAGAAACGGTATTGAAATCTTGCTAAACCTGTTCACATCCCCTCTGCTGATCAAGGCTCCTGCAGTTCAAGTACCTATTTCATCTTGTCGGCAGCTATACTGCTGTCAGAGATTCTTGCTGTTCCCTTAAGCGCCTGGCTGATGTCATCAAACGCCTGGATCCCTTGGATGCTCGGACTAGCCTGCGAATTTGGTAGCCTGTTTACGATCCTCTTGTTGCCGGAGACTAAACCGGAGCCCTCAGTCAACCCCGTCAATGATGTTCAGCCGGAGACGGCAGGCCACTTGAAGCTATCATCGGCATTTACATGGGCCAGTGTGGTACACTTTGTTCGCTCACAGTTCGCTCAACTGCATGAGTTCATCGGCGAGTATCCAAGTGCCCTAGTCATCTCCCTCGCCTTCCTCTTTTCGAGCTATGGAATTGAAGCAGTTCCTTTCATGCTCCAATATGTCTCCAAGCGCTTTTCATGGAGCTTAGCAGAGGTATGAGATTTCGGCGAAATGTACATATACTTCAAGTTTCAGGTATGCTGATATGATTTCCAAGGCGAGCCTTCTCATATGCGTCAAGGGGATCATTAATTGCTTCGCTTTGATGCTCGTACTTCCGATGGCTACGAAGATCCTCGACCGATATTTGTCCCCCGTGCAGAGAGACCTTAGAGTGGCCATAGGCTGTGCATGTCTGTTAATGGCTGCTTTTGGCTTCATGTCCATGGCATCTCATCCAGCAGTGTTTGTTGTAGGAGTTGCTCTGGTTGCTCTTGGAGGGGGGTTCAGCGCCGCTCTGCGCAGCGTCGGGAGTGCTTTGGTTGGGTCATCGCATGTTGGACTCCTGAATACGACCATAACTCTGACACAGGGAGTTGGACTCATGATATCTGGGCCACTCCTAGCTGGATTATTTCGAGCAGGGATGGCCTGGGAAGGAGCGTGGATGGGGCTTCCATGGATGGCAGGATTTATCTTGTATGCAGCAACCATCCTGACAGTGTATTGCCTCCAAGTCCAGAGCTAGATCTAGCCATCATCCTCTGGCCGTTGGTGACAGTTAGTGTCAGGTCAGCTGCATGGTAGGAGAAACAAGTGATCAAGGTTGATCATAGAAGAGCATGACCGCGAGCTTGAATGTCCCCAGAAAGGGAGAACAAGCGGAGATACCCAGGGCAACGATGGTCAGTCCTGAATGGACTTACTGGTAGTGGTGGTATAGACTTTCCTATTTGCTAGAAGAGAAAAGATGGACACCGATCGCTCGCAGAGCGAGATGTGACCATTTCAAAATTGGATCTTTGGGTGGGATGGTAATAATCCACAATTGCATCGCTACTGGAATCTTCTAGGGAGCGGTCTGGGAAAGGCAGTTCACTAGGGAAGAGGTTTGGACGTATGGAGTAGTGAATTAGTTGAGAGGAAGAGCAGGTGCGACTCTACTAGATCAAAGACACTCGTCCTGCCACATGACCACGCTCCAACCGCCACGCTTATGTACTCACTTTCTACACAACGAATGCTTACAAGGGACCTTTGAAGCTACTGGGTATTATCAGTATCTCATCATAAGTCGGTCAATGCTGTTTTATCGGTTCCTCGATAAATCCGGAATAGACACGAATTGAATTAAATAGCCCCAGTCCCCTTGCAAGAGCTAAAAGGTAAGCTGCTTGAGTTCGGACTGTCGGGGAATAAGTAGGCAACTGGCTGGCTGGCTGGCAAGCAAGCAAGCAAGCAAGGTATAGACAGAACTCATAGATGGCCTCTAGTCGAACATAGGCGGCAAGAGGGTATTTACCAGAGCGGCTTAGTTTGCATGTATGGACACGTACCCAGATGCATGGGTCTGATCTACTGTATAACCCATCAGTAGCGCGTTTTGAGAGTTCCTTTATCTTAGCACGAGCCAGTCCTTTGGTAGTTCATATAATTAGTAACCCAGATCCCCGGTACCTTGCCAACTTCCAATCTCACCAGGCATTGAAAGTCAATAGGAAACGTGGCACGGACGACGTTCTTGCTTGAAGGTAGATATGGGCTGAGCTAACTAGTACGTACAGTGTCAGCTCCACCGGAAGGTCTTTAAATGGATAATCCGTACTTCACCTGCAAATTAAATGGGGGTTTCATGCTGTAGAGATGCTATGCAGGAGCTGTAACAGGTAGGCACATCATCTATTATCTTCCAGCAGATACTAGAGACGTAGGGGGAGGGAAGTACCTCGAATTGTGGCTGGAGTTGATGGGTGAAAAAGTTCGGGTCAGCCGACGCCAAGGAGTTTTCGTCATTATTCAATTTCAATTCAATTTTCAATTATTTTCAATTGCCGCATCCAGAAAAAGGCACGCGACTGGCAAACTTTCCCCCGGCTCTTCCCTTTTCGGGCCTACCGCCTGCCGCATGCGATCAGGTTGTAATGGTACGGTGGAAGTACCGTGAGAGTACCTTACCTTTCTCCCCAACAGAGTGGAGGTACCCTGGAGGTACATGCGCTGCTCTCTGCCTGCTTCAGCCTGCTGTCTCTGGCTGCCTGCGGCTGACGCCCTTGTGATTGATTTTCTTTCTCTCTTAACAGATGGCCAGATAATGCCTGATGCCCATTAGTCTGTTTTCTATTATCGTGCAGAAAATCTCTTCCCCTTCCTGTGACACCATCTCCTCCTAACTTGGACCAGTTCCTCGCCTCGGTCCCTTGTGTCATTATTTAGTATTCCCAATTGTCTGACCTATCTTGCCTGTTATATCAATCACCCTGCTTCTCACCCAATTTCAGAGCTATCGTCATCGTTGAATCGGCTTTCCCCACTCCCCCGAATGATAGGTAGGCAGACAGGCTACTACCTACACCACTCCCACTACCGCTTACCACTACTACTACGTATTAGTAGTTAATTACTAGTAGTAGTAGGTGCTGTTATTATTATTACACCACCGAGTCCGGAATTTAACTAACCTTCCACAGCAGTCCGAGAGACACACACACACACTACTTAATCCTCACACACTTTGGTCCCCTCTCTCCCAACTACCACTAGCTTCCCTTTCCCCCCTCCACCATCCCATCATCAGTTCTGCTCACGCTTTTCTGCTGGTTCCATTCCCGCTTGCCGCCTCCCGAATAGTCATTCTGCCCTTGCCCTCAAAGCCAACCTAATCTCTTCTCTTTCACCTGATCTGCTGCCTCTTCCCTCCCCATCCCCCTCCCCTCGTCTTCCCCCCCAAAAAGAATCCGCCGGGTTTTCCACCTTTTCTCTTCCTCTATCCTTTCCCCCTCCCCCTCCTCGGTGGTGTGTGTATGTCTGTAACGGGCCTTTCCTCTGCGTGAACAGTTTAATTGTGATCCACTAGAAATCATGGGTCAGACCTTGTCCGAGCCCGTGGTCGATAAGGTGAGTGAAACCTGAAGCATTGCGTTTGCCTGTCTGGTCCTTTGATCCTCCCCCACACTGCACGCATCTTACGCCATTCTAATCTGTCCACCATCCACATTTGCCATTCTGTGCCATACCCGCCCATTCTCCCCTTTTGTATCCTTTTGTCAAACATGTTTACTGCCCAGCATTATTATATCTTACAGCGTTCTTTTTCATTCCTCCTCTTGTGTGTCGCGCCTGCAATGTGGTGATCATCCCTCCCCTGCGGGGTTCCTCCACAGGATGATGAAAATTTCCTGCACGCGATTTCGGGCGGATGACCTGTCACCATTCCATTGTGTTCCGGATCTCTCCTTAATTTCCTACATCCTCACTAACCACTTCCGGTGCTATCTAGACTTCCGCTGAAGGTCAAGATGAGTGCTGTATATACGGTGTTTCCGCCATGCAGGGTTGGCGAATCAGCATGGAGGATGCCCATGCTGCCGTCCTCGACCTGCAGGCCAAGTACTCGGACCAGGATGAAAAGCCGACCGACCCCGATAAACGACTCGCTTTCTTCGGTGTATATGACGGGCACGGTGGAGACAAAGTAGCATTATTCGCCGGAGAGAACGTCCACAAGATTGTCGCAAAGCAAGACTCCTTTGCCAAAGGTGATATCGAACAGGCCCTGAAGGATGGCTTCCTCGCTACCGACCGGGCTATTTTGGAAGGTTCGTGAGCGCTATGATCGGAGTTCGGGCAACCCTCCCACCCGCCTCTCCCTCTCCTTCTTGATTTCTGTCCCTCCGAGGTAGCAACGGACTGACCCGGCTAGACCCGAAGTATGAGGAGGAAGTGTCTGGCTGCACCGCAGCCGTCAGCGTTATCTCGAAGCACAAGATCTGGGTGGTATGTATTCTAGCCATGGCCGGTTTGGAAACGACGATGGGTTCGGTTCATGTTTTTTTGACTGGTTCTAGGCCAATGCTGGTGATTCTCGCTCTGTCCTGGGTGTCAAGGGCCGCGCGAAGCCTCTTTCATTTGACCACAAGCCTCAGAACGAAGGTACAGACCCTACATCTCGATTATCGACCTGCGTTGGTGTTGCTGACATGACAAAATATAGGCGAGAAGGCTCGTATCAGCGCTGCTGGTGGTTTCGTTGACTTTGGCCGTGTCAACGGCAACCTGGCCCTGTCGCGGGCCATTGGTGACTTCGAGTTCAAGAAGAGCCCCGAGTTGTCTCCTGAGCAGCAAATCGTCACTGCCTATCCCGACGTCACTGTGCACGATCTCAGTGACGATGACGAGTTCCTCGTAATTGCCTGTGACGGTGGGTCTTTCTCTGGTGATTAAGGGAGCGAGGGTCTCGGAGATCGCTAACTTTTCGGAATGCAGGTATCTGGGATTGTCAGTCCTCCCAATCAGTGGTAGAATTCGTCCGCCGTGGGATTGCCGCGAAGCAGGACTTGTATCGGATCTGTGAGAACATGATGGACAACTGCCTGGCCTCCAACAGTGAAACCGGTGGTGTTGGCTGTGACAACATGACGATGGTTATCATCGGTCTCCTTAACGGTAGGACCAAAGAGGAGTGGTACAACCAGATCGCTGAGCGCGTGGCGAACGGCGACGGCCCTTGCGCTCCGCCCGAGTACGGCAAGTCTCTCGAGGATCCCACGGCCTCCAATTCCAATCCCTACTGACTGAACGGGGGGTGCAGCTGAGTTCCGCGGCCCCGGTATCCGGAATCAATTTGAGGAGAACCCGGATGACTTTGACATGGAAAACGACCGTGCGCGTGGCTTCAGCGTCCGCTCTGGCCGCATCATCCTCTTGGGGGACGGCACTGAATTGATTCCGGAACAGAACGATGACGAACTCTTTGATCAGGCTGAGGAAGACCAGGACCTTGTCAATCAGGTGCACCGTGATTCACCTGATGCAGCTCGGAATGAACGGGAGGGAACTCCTGGGCCTCAGTCTAAGGACACTCCCCGAACGGACGCCGCTGAGATATCGGAGTCGCCGTCTACCACCGCGGAGGGTTCGTCCGGCAGTGCCCCTGGAACGCCGCAAAAGCCTACGAGTTCGTAGTCATGATGGATCTCTTGCATTTCTTCTTGATGTGTCTTTTCTTTTTTCCTATTTCCTTGTCTACCCTTGCCGCGCTTGTTACCTTTTCCCTTTTTTCCTTATCTTGGTTCTTTGAAAACCATCCTTGTGTGATTCTACGACTGTGCCCCGTTTTTACCTATTTCCTTACATTTACGTGGACTTCTTTCTGCCTTGCCCCTTCGGAAGCGCCAGGCTTCCTCACGTCGAACTCCCCCCTTCTATTTATCATACTCCAGCCTTACTCCCTTTCGAAATGGCCTAGTGGTTTCAGAGGCGGTGGAACCCAATCGCGAGGTGACCTTTTTTTTACGAGAAGGAAGTCCAAAGTCACTCAATATTTCGGCATTGGTTGCGGGGTGGATGCATGGGAATCGGGTCGGAGGGTTTCGTTTATGTTTACCAGTTTTATTGCAGAGCCGCGAGCGGCCGGCCTCACGAGAGTACGTCTGTTTCATGCCATGAACAAGATACCGCACAAAACGCCCACTGTTGATGAACCATGATATTTTCCATGATTGTCCCAATTTTCTTTCTCTATCTTATTGTCTGTGTCTTCCCTGCTCCTTGACGATGCGATGCCGTGTCCACCTCAGCTGCAGCCTGGAAATTTACCGGCGGGACAGCCCTTGCGATGTCCCGGCTTGAGCGCGACATTGGTATGTTGTAACCGATCGATCACGTCAGGGGAGGGGAGGGAAATAGCGGAGTTGCACACCATGTATGGCGTCCCGGGGGGAGAAATACTCCATGATGGCATGACGTACAGTTTTTATAAGTCCGGGGTCGGGTAAGGCAAACTCGTCGAATGCTTGCTTCAGCAGCGGAGTTTCTGGAACCGGGATGGAAGCGAGCCGTGTATGTTGAATCTTTTGTCTCCTTTTTCGTTCTAAATTATATCGTATGCATATAGAAACGTTGGCTGTGCAGGAGTCTTGACACCATCCGGAAGTCAATTGCGACAAGAGATGTGGGGATGCGCGTAGTTATAGTGAAAGAGGAGTCCGTAGGATGGATCTAGTAATATTTACTGTAGGTAGCTAAGTACAGTACTTCGCAAAAAAGGCCTGATTGAGGTACACCGTATGGTACTTTGGCAGGACCGGGCGAATGAGAGGGCCCGCCGGAGTCCCGTGATGGGCGATGATGGTTGGGGCAGGACCATACGTGACGGTCAGTTGTCTTGCTTGCTTTCCCCACTGTGGGCAATGCCAGTAATTTAGCAGTACGTATCTAGCAGTATTTAGCAGTTTCTCGCGGTCATTGGCGACCCATTTACTGGTAAGCGGTCAGTTCTATCGGAGGTGATCAGTCGAGTTTTGAGTAAGGTACCATACATGAATCAATATTCCCGGTCGGGAAGATTTTGAGATTCTTGCCTTTTTTAGTCTGCGCTCTAGTTTCGGATCCGCGATACTTTCGGTCGGTTTCTTCCCCTTGTCTTTGCTTGCTCCATCGCCCGTCTGTCAAGGGTCCTGCTCTAGTTTCTTCCTCTTCCTCTTCCTCTTCTTACTCTTTCTCTCTCTCTCTCTTCCTCCCTCTTCTCCCCCCTCTCCACCATTTCCCCCCATGGTTTGTTGAGGGATTTCATCTTCTCCTCTGTGTTTTGGATCCCATCACCGGGCCCTCCCGTACACTCCTCTTCCCTCCTCCACATCCTCTCCGTCC